AAATCAATGACCCCCCAGGACAGGGCCAATTTTGACCCAAGGGCTCTTAATTGAACAAACTTGGTAGACATCCATTAGAACATGTTTCATGCTAAATATCGTAGCTCTAGCTCTTTGGGTTCTTTAAAAGAAGATTTTTAAGCTTTTACTATATGCATATAGGGAAAATCAATGACCCCCTGGGTCGGGGCCAATTATGACCCCAGGGCTTTTATTTGAACAAACTTGGTAGACACTCATTAGAAGATGTTTCATGCTAAATATCGTAGCTCTAGCTCTTTGGGTTCTTTAAAAGATGATTTTTAAAGTTTTTACTATATGCATAAAGGGAAAATCAATGACCCCCTGGGTCGGGGCCAATTTTGACCCAAGGGCTTTTATTTGAACAAACTTGGTAAACACTCACTAGAAGATGTTTCATGCCAAAAATCTAAGCTCTAGCTCTTTAGGTTTTTTAGAAGAAGATATTTAAAGTTTTTTCTTTTGGTTGCCATGGCAACCAGAGTTCTGCATGGAATTAAATTCTTTGAACAATTTTCACAGGTGACCACCAAAGGAACATTCCTGTGAAGTTTGGATGAAATTGGCTTAGTGATTTATGAGGAGATGTCATTAAAAGTGAAAGTTTACGGACGACAGACGCACGGACGGAGGACGAAAAGCGATCACAAAAGCTCACCCTGGTGAGCTAAAAAAGCCTTTGAGTCATTTTTTTTTAAAGCGGCCTTCTGTTTTTCTGAAGGTTTTATATGTTTCAAGATAAAAGTCAAATAAAAAAAAATATGGTGGAAAAATTATATCTGCCATCAATAAAATACAGAATCAATAATGAAACTCCTCGATTCCTCTAATCTTCATGTCCGCATTAGAAAAGCGTGTGATTTGTTTTTCCGATTTTCTATTTTTAGAAACGAACATCACCGGCGTTCTATAAAATTTAATAGCTCTTTATACACTGTTTTAAAGTAGTCCTTACAGTAATATGTTGCACTTTTCTAAGATAAGATTACTAAAATACTTAATTTGAACAAAAATCATTTTCGAATCATTTTCAAACAAAATATGAAAGCTGAAGGCCGCTTTAAATTAATGTAATCTCGTCCTCTTTTATGCTGAAAGAGCGCCCACAACAACTAACTTTGGATGACTCATCTATGCTTAAAAATGTCTTCAAACTTGTCACAAATCTTGTCAGCATTGTTTGGCCATTTGAAAATTGGTGCTTTGACCCCTTTACATTTTGTTTTTGCTAGTATGAAACAAAAATAAATCGTCATCAGCTATGTCAACCTCGTCAATCAGTCCAAGGTACCAATATGCTTAACTACTATCTTCCTCTTTCTTGGTGCTTGAACCATTTTTATCATTAACAAACATTCTTCTTGAACACAACCAGACCAATTAATTTATTAACTTGTAATTATTGTTCATTTAAAATTTAAAAGAGAAAAACCAAGACAGAAATATCAATAATAATATTTAATTAGGTTAATAAATGATCACGAATTATCACTAGATAACTGCAAAATTGGTCAACACTAATAAACTATAGAATGAGTTATTAATCAATCCACAAAGAATTACTAATCATTATAAATATTTACCAAAACGCAGTACTAAAATAACTAAATGCAATAAAAACTTAATGCTAAACCAAATGGGCTAGGGTGGGTGGGCAAAAAAGACTAGAACGTGATCTCGACTACAAAATAAGTAACAGAATGGCGAGCAAAAGCAAAATAACCTATATATAGGTAATTAAACAACCTATCAAATTCAATAACAGAAATTTGAAATAATCCAATCAGCAATCTAAAAAATAAACCGTTGACCAACGAGATAAGCTGATATAACCAGAGGTCAACTCGATTCAAATAAAAACTTTATCATTCACAAGAATTAATCGATTTTAACAGGTGTATTAAAATACGCTAATTTGAGTTCGAGCTATTTCAATCTGTGTCAATTTCTGAACATTTTTTTCTGACATTCTATGTTCTGGTCGCTTAAGCCCCTTTTTTATCTTTTCACTGTTGTAGCTCAGTATGATTTCTTCTCTTTTGTTCTTTTGTTCAAGGTATTTTACTCCTTAAGATGATTTTTTCCTCCCACAAAAGGTTCGCTGTATTTCAGCCTATGATATATCTATACTTGCTGAAACAAAGAAAAAGTAATCTACGTTACTTATTTTGTAATCAACGCTACCATTTTTAGAAACAATTTATTTATGCCTAAATGACAGTTTTTCCTCCAGGAACAAGCAGTGTTATTACATGAAACTACAATATAATGATCCACAATAAAGGAACATGTCAAATATTTGGAAAAGAACTACTTATTTGTGTTGCAGATATCACAAGTTGATTTTTTTGTAATCTACGTTACCAACCTTGGTATCACATTTATTAAATCGTAGATGATCTGGTATAACACAGATAACATACATGTATCTGTGTAGATCTGTTATGATAAAAATTTATGAACAAAATCTTTTGGTAAGCAAAAATGGAGACCAAAAAAGAAAAGGATTTGTTACCAACATAGAGGGTCATGAAACTAATATTTGCAATAAATGTTTGAATAAAAAGTGTTTCAGATCAATTTCATTGGAATTTAAGTTGTATAATTCAATTATAATCTTAAAACTATAATAAAAAATACTTTCATCACTTACCTTGGCTTGCTTTCCTGAAGATAACTGGAACTCGGTAATATAGTGTTTTTGCGCCGATATTGCAAATGCAAATGGTGGAATAAGTGTCAAATTTGAAATAAAGGGAAACAAACTATGTGTATATTGATCTAGAAGTTTATATTACGGAACCTTGAAACAGTTTAACATGATCTCGGACATGCAAATCAAATTATTTGCAGAAATTGAAAAACCGTGGTAACGTTGATTACATCTCGAAGGTTACATCTTTATTGTCATGAGCATGAATTTTTTTACAAACAACCAACTTTTACAAAATAAAGATATATGAGCAGCACGAAATACCCAAATATACCCAAATACACCCAAATATACCCAAATATTGCCCAAATATACCCAAATATTGCCTAAATATACCCAAATATTGCCCAATTATACTAAAAATATATGTTCTATACAAAAAAGTGTTGTTTTAATCATGAATACAATATACACTTTCACTAAGATATAATCAAACATACCCAAATATACATTTTCCTATCATTGTATAGAGTATATGTACTCTATTAAAGCTATAATTTTTTAAAATTACATGGACACTTGTATAATCATGATATGAAATTTCAACAAAATTACACCTTAAAAATGTAAGTGTAGACAACAAATATCATATCTTGATTTAAAATTGCAAGTACTTTCATAAAGAACCTATATAGTAGATAAGCAAATGTCACAACTTTATTTTCTTACAACATCTTAACTGCCCATTTCTACGGAATGAATGAAAGTTATAGCAGACTAAGTCATATTATTTTATAAATATTCATTTATTTCCCATTATAATCTATATTTTATACAAACAAAAATAAATATTGCTATATTTGGGTACATTTGGGTGTATTTGGGTATATTTGGGTATTTCGTGCTGCCGAGATATATTGAATGTTTAACAAGTCTAATCTAATTGATAATAGTCTATAAAGAGCACCCTATGCCACAGACACACAATCATATTTCAACATCTATAATAATATTATAGATGTTGAAATATGATTTTTTTTCAAAACGGCATATATTAAGATTTTTTGATATATATGATCAGTACATGTCCTGGGATTGACAAATATGCATTTTATTTGGATTTTAAAGGCGTTTTGAGCTCCAAACCCCAAGCGTCTGTGCCCTATGCCACAATATTTGAGTAATAGCAGTAACTTAGAATACAGTCTTAAATTTACTTAACAAATATAAGTTTTCTGATTCTTGTGTAATGCGTTTTTATGAAATGAGTTAAACATTGTATCGTGTATCGTTTATACTATGTTTTGTTAGTATTTGTATCTGTTTAAACACCTTTTAATGTGTTTATTACCTGTGTATTTTTTGTGCGCAAACTAAGTAACGTAGATTACATTGGATTTGGAGAAAGAAAGTTTTGTTTTATAACGAAAAATGCAAAGAGATTCACTCATAATTTATTTTAAATTTCAAACTTCAACATGTCGTCAAACAAAAATTAAAGAAGATATGTTCAGTTTTTAACAAATTGATGCAGCACTTGCGTGTTAAATCATGTAACCCTTTACAGCGACAGCGTATTTTTCTTTTAAATTGATATTATGTAGATCTATTTCTTTCTTTTCCTAAATACCAGTTTCTTACATCTATTTTGTATATGATTTAAAGGTAGGGACCATGTAATGTTGAAAAAATTACAAAACTCAACTGTATAATTGTATATGTTTTAACATTCGTTAAGAGACGCTCAAATTTCAAACTTGGGTCTATCTGGTGAGAATATGTGTATAACGTTTTGCCAATTAGTTGTATTTGACGGGTATAGATGGATACCGAAAATAAGCTATTTTCGCGAAAATAAGATCGCGGCTACGAAAATAAGATTTATTTTTGAAATAGTGCATTTATCTGTTTGAATAATTATGTAAGTAATATACTTATGCATTCATTGAATGATTTTACAGCAAATTAAAATTTCAGAACAAAAAAAATATTTAAAAAATGCATAATATTAAAAAATAAATCTTATTTTCGCAGACCCGATCTTATTTTCGCTCACACGGCGATTTGAGCTATATTCGTACGTATGTATTTTCGGCTCAAACTGTACTTTTTTTAAATATTTTTTTGGTTCTGAAATTTTAATTTGCTGTAAAATCACCCAAAGAATGCATAAATATATAACTTACATAATTATTTAATTAGATAAATGCACTATTTCAAAAATAAATCTTATTTTCGTAGCGATATCTTATTTTCGCGAAAATAGCTTATTTTCGGTATCCATCTATACCGGTATTTGACCTATAAATATTTTTGACAGCTGTCACGGCTATAATTTTCACGTTGCACCGTTTCTAATGGTTTTCTTCCGGTAAGAAAGCTTAAGATTATATCTTCTTTAAAGTCATTTAATAAGTATTGACATCTGTCTTGTTTTTGTAAATTCGTTTAATATTTTCATGATTTTCATATGCAATCAAAGAGATTATGAAAAATACCTTATGTATCGCTTTAGCATATGTTTTCGCGGCCTATGTTAAACTGATTTTTTTACAAATCTTCCTTCTGGTCGGGGACCATCAACCGGACACTCTTTGAACATTTTTTCCGTACAGATTTCATAATTTTTAACCTAGAGATCAAAAAATTGATCAAGCTGAATCTATCTGAAAGTCTGCTGATTGTAGACTCTCCATAAAGTATAAAAAACACAAGAGGTATTAATTGTTGCTTAGTCCTGCTAGTGCTAGTTAGATTCAAGATAGGCCCTACATTTAATTTTTGGACTAGCAATGTTTTTCCACCAAGTGCAGCCACAAACTGCATTTTAATGCACTGATGATGCCCAGTTAATCATAAATAATTCAAAAACTCTATAAAACTTTGTGACTAAGGCGCACTCCCTTCACAGTCGTGTTAAAGCCAGATTTTGGTCACTACGACGTACCCTCACAGATACAGAAATACTTAGAAATAAACAGCGGATTTAAAGTTATTTAACATTGGTCAAATCACAGAAACTTGAAATTCTATCAATATTAATCATGATATCCAAAATACCAAAATATACCCCCTACACAGTAGCCCAGGTCTCCACGATACCGGTGTGCATATTTTATACAAGGTGTTTTTCATATAAAAATTTACTGACTTGAAAAAAAGAAGGAATAAACAACTTCATTAACATTTAATCCTCTTAAAATTACATTACAGAGTTCTGTTACTCTGAAATTCTCGCTCATTGCAAATGTAAACAATGGTCGACCATTTGTATGACATAGTTAAACAGACTTCATGCTACCTGTGCACTGGTAAAAATGTTATTTATATGGAAAGCCATTGCAGTTTTAATAGCAAATATATCATTTTAGCATTCTTGTATTCATATCTGAAAAAAAAAAAACGCTTAAAAACAACATAAAAACGTGTGTTTCAATAATTTATTATTTAATTTATTTATTGTTCATCTTTTATGACTCCCAAGGGGTCTCTGTTTTAGAACCTTTTCCTCCCAATTACAGGTGTATATTATACCATGTGGCTGGATTCAAACATTCCCCTTCACTTAATTTTAGTGTTGTTATGATTGTCTGGTCCTTTTGTATCATTGAATCAATTTTATTTCTATATGGAAAAAAATGTGTTTTGTAGAGGGAGTAATGTATGCAATGGAAAAATAGGCTAGTAAAATAAAAATAAGGTAGGATATGTGAAATATTTCCTTCAGAAACTCTTGAAAATGTTTAAAAACTTTGAAATAGCCAATATTACTGGGAGCATGTCAATATAAACACTCGGTAGGTGGTGTTGACAAAAATATCGCGAGATTTGTGAATATACCGGTACCGTGGAGTCACTGGTATCATGGGGTTCGAGTATATAAATACAGTGTTTATTTATACTGTATAGGGGGTATATTTTGGATATTATCATTAATATTGATAAAATTTCAAGTTCCTGTGATAAATATCTACTAAAGAAATATATTGCAGTACAAATTAATCAATTAAATACATTTATAGAACTCCCAATGAATGAATTTATGATTGAGACTAGTAACATGAAATATATTGTTTTGATACTTATAAGAACTGAAAAATGTTTTCTGATTTTAACAGTTTAAATTGATTAAATCTACAAACAGTGTTGACAGACAGTAAAAACTAAGCATAATTAATGGTTTGATAGTAGGAAAACAGCAGTTTAGAAAGGGGGTCATACCATTCATGCATGATTAATTAATTATTAGGCTAATAGTCTCCATCTCTACTAGTTTGCAGGGTTTTTTGGCTTATTTTATAGCAGATATGCGGTCATATTCCCAATTGAATAATAGTGTATTAATTTCCTAATCCACAGGAAAAAATTCCCAATTGAAAGTTACAAAATAAAAATATTGAATAAGAAATTCTAAAATCTTTGAAAGTAAGGGCTTCATCACTGTTATACTGCTTTAATGTTTGAAGATGCCATCCTAGACAGTGATTATTTGCATTCATTGAATCAAGATGCCATCCTGGACAGTAATTAATCATTGCAAAATTTCAGTCATGCATTTTTAGCTCGACTATTCGATAAGAATAAGTAGAGCTATTGCAGTCACCCGAGCGTCGGCGTCCGCGTCGGCGTCCGCGTAACCACTTATGTTAAAGTTTTTGTAATAGTTCAAATATTTTCAAAGTCCATTGACATATGGCTTTGAAACTTTGCACACTTGTTCACCATCATGACCCCAACCTGTAGACAGGAGGAGGTAACTCTATCAAGCATTTTGACATAATTATGCCCCTTTTTCGACTTAGAATTTACGTTAAAGTTTTTGTAATAGTTCAAATATTTTCAAAGTCCATTGACATATGGCTTTGAAATTTTGCACACTTGTTCACCATCATGACCCCAACCTGTAGACAGGAGGAGGTAACTCTATCAAGCATTTTGACAGAATTATGCCCCTTTTTCGACTTAGAATTTACGTTAAAGTTTTTGTAATAGTTCAAAAATTTTCAAAGTCCATTGACATATGGCTTTGAAACTTTGCACACTTGTTCACCATCATGACCCCAACCTGTAGACAGGAGGAGGTATCTCTATCAAGCATTTTGACAGAATTATGCCCCTTTTTCGACTTAGAATTTATGTTAAAGTTTTTGTAATAGTTCAAATATTTTCAAAGTCCATAGACATATGGCTTTGAAACTTTGCACACTAGTTCACCATCATGACCCCAACCTGTAGACAGGAGGAGGTAACTCTATTAAGCATTTTGACAGAATTATGCCCCTTTTTTGACTTAGAATTTATGTTAAAGTTTTTGTAATAGTTCAAATATTTTCAAAGTCCATTGATATATGGCTTTGAAACTTTGCACACTTGTTCACCATCATGACCCCAACCTGTAAACAGGAGGAGGTAACTGTATCAGGCATTTTTTTTACTATCAAGCACGAAGAATAGTCGAGCGTTGCTGTCCTACCGACAGCTCTTGTTTCCCAAATATTTAACAAAATATTGCTGAAATTCCCAATTCCATGTGTGTGGGTTATGTTCCCAAAATCCTAGAAAAAATCCTGGTTTGCCTTGTAAAGACATATACATGTATCTGTATACTGTACAGAAATGCAAATATCTGAATATTTAGTAGCATCCTTAGTATAAGTCCATCAAGGTGGTTGTCTAGGGAAATGAGGGTAAATGTACAACTGTAATATTAAGTCTTCCCCTATTTTAAGCATTAAGATCTTGTTAAGTGAACTATTTGATCTGTTGAAAATTTTAGTGAATGTTTCCTTACATAACAATGTTAACAAATGCTGCTTGAAAAATGAAAATATAGAAATTGTAATGTTGACAGTTAACCTTTAAATCTTTTGTTTGCAACAAGTTTTCATTATTGATTATTGACTCAGTGCTGTTTCTTAATTTTGCACTTCAAATTATTTCAGTTGACAGATAGTGTGAGCTGTTGAAGTATGATTTTAAGTGCAGGATATGTTGTATTATATGTGGTCAGGTTGTTGAGTCGTAGTAGAAGGAGGAAGATGTATCTACAGACAATAAGACAGGTAATTAGAAATATATATATATATTTTCTTTTTTTTATGTCTTTCATGACCTATTCCATCTTCCAAAGTCAACCTTTATCAAAACACATTAGTGCTTAGAGTTACCTTCTAACGCTTCTTACACTAATTTTAAACAGACTAAATAGTCAAGTGCATTATTATACAAAATTACATCTCTGCTCAATGTAGGCATCATATTTCTATAGATTTTTGTTTCTATCATTCAGCCTGTTAAAAATCAAAATAGATGATTTTTTTTGTGATACAGTACAGTAATTTAAATGAGCCGCGCCATGACAAAACCAACATAATGGGTTTGCGACCAGCATGGATCCAGACCAGCCTGTGCATCCGCGCAGTCTGATCAGGATCCATGCTGTTCGCTTACAAACCCTATTACAAGTAGAGAAACTGATAGCGAACAGCATGAATCATGATCAGACTGCGCGGATGCGCAGGCTGGTCTGGATCCATGCTGGTCACAAACCCATTATGTTGGTTTTGTCGTGACACTGCTCAAATGCTTTTCACCAATTACCTTCCAGCCTTTGCGAAATTGTGATTATAATTCTGCACATCTGCATTAGAACCATTGATTATTCTCTATCAATAAACTCAAAATTGATACCTAATCTAAACAATTTTGATAAGTTGGATATATTGAAAAAGATGAATTAACTATTTTGATGATTTAAATTGAACCAAATTAAACACTTTAGCTGTAACTCTTTATTTTAACCATTTTATTCTTTTCCAAGTATATTTTAGAAAATGATGAAAAGTTTTGTATATGTCTCATATAAATCTGATAAAGAATGTCTGTGTACATGTTTTATGACTCTACATAGAGGAGACGTAAACAAACATAAAATAAGAGTTTAGTAAACACACATACATGTAACTCTGCATTTGTTTATAGTAACATATGTTTGAAATGTAGTCATCAATCTTTGTGTCATATATTCACAGGTTGTACAAAAACACAGTATCTTCATCAAAAAGTCTGTGAGTGAAAAATGGTCTGCTGCTGCAAGTACTTTGATACAGTGTCCACTGGTAAAGGGATCACAGAGGTTTACCCACAAACCATTGCTAGAAGATGATCATATTGCTATGATGTCTGTAGAGCCAAAGGTACTGTAAAGCAATTGTATATTTATAATTTAAAGCTGCATGCCTCCAGAGGAGCCAAAATATATGAAGAAAATAAAACTTGAGACAAATGTACTATGATTTTAGTTAAGAAAAGAAAAAATGATTTAAGATTCAAATAATGTGAGGTTAATTATTATTGACTGATTTGGCAGTATCAATCACCATATTTCTACTTCCTGACTATGACGAAGGTCTTGAGAGACCGAAACCGGTAGATCCTAGAATAAACCAGTTACAAACCATCTTGATGTTTGATGTGTGGTCTCTCCTTCTCTTTATTTACTTGGTACTTCCTGACTAGTGTGACTAAGGCAGCAGGGGCCATATTTGCATATTTTAACCTTTTTTTGGTAATATACTTGGGTTGTAAGACTTTGATGTATGCATTGTATAAATGACTTTATTTGGCTTCATTTTCCAAATTTTCATGAAAATAAGCATGAATCTTGAGGCATGCTGCTTTAAAGTGTACATGTACAAAGCTTTATCTCTGCTAGCTAAATTTAACAAAATTGTTGTTTGAAATTTGAAAAAGAAGAAATCCAAAATGCCTGTATGAAAGAAATATGTTGATATATTTCCATTTTAGCACATGCTTGAAACCATTGCCAAACGGTTTAATACCTACTTTAAATAACAGCATCATATTTTGTTTCAGAAGATTTTATTCTGTTTAAACACAGTTTTCATAAATGTTAAATAACAGAAAGTTTCTGTAACACTTCTTCTGAGAATCCACCATTACATTATGGAAACAACAAAACTTTCCTGTTTTTAGCTCAACTTTTTTTTCCATGTCGGGAGTCCCGTTGCTGTCTCACAGTCTGCAAACTTTAACATTGATCATAACTTTCTATGTTCTTTACGTATTGTCTCTACACTTTGCCACAACAAACTGTTGGGATAACAACATGAAGTACTCCAGACTAAACTTGACCTTCATTCATAAATGACCTTGCTTGATTTCTGCTATTAGTGGCTATTACTTTGTTAATTTTGAATGAATTTCCATCAAATGTGAACACAACATTCTTTTAGGATAGAATTTTAAGTTAACCAGACAGACCTTGACCTTCACTCATAAATATCCTTGACTTTCAAGGTCAAATCACTGAAATTTTCTTGTTTTTTTGTTGTAACTGGCTTTAACTTTGTTGTTTTTAATGAATGGATTGACTTCTTATAAAGACGCCACATTCATTCAGAAAAGACCTTTATGTATTTCAAACGCAAATTGACCTTGTCTCATTTATGACCTTGACATTAAAGGTTAAATTATTGAATTTTCACTTAATATTGCTATAAAAATTTCATTAGATACAGCTTTATACATGTACCCTTTGACAAATACCCAGCTAAATTTCATAACTTGGGTATCCAGTTTCCTATTTTAAGTCATGCCTATTATTTATTTTTGGGATAACAGATGAAACTTTAGGTTGGTCAAGAGTAGGAAAAATGAAAGATTGTGTTTCACATTTTAATGTACATACTTTTGTGTACTGTATGCAAGTTTTCTTACATGTAGAATTTTCTTTTTTTATTTTCAACTATCAGTATTCCAGAAAAGAAAGGAATAACATCAATTTTAGTTTCAAAAGTTTATTATTTGAATTTCTAACAGAGAATTAGGGAAAGAAAAAGGATTTTTTTTTTCCATTGGGTCTGTGGCCCAATATTTGAATGTATGTATACTGGTGGCAAAGATTACTCGCTTTTTTTAAGTGTCAAAGTAAAGGGTAAACACTGTCTGTGTGACCTAAAAAATTTAAGTATTCTTTTGAATTGGTGATGACACTATTTGGCACTATCCTTCAAAAGTCTGTAGAAGTAGTCCCAGGTAAGGAAGGACAGGCACAATATTGCTAGAATACTGTTCATGATTTTTTTTCTCCATTTTTTTTCCATTTCATATTGTTTTTTCTCAGTTAATTTTAATCGGACATCATGTACAAGTTGAGCCAATCTTATTTTCCACATTATGTACAGGATCAGCTCCTTTTTTCTAGTGTTATGTACAATGTACATATTTGAGTCACCTTTTTCATTCAGTTCAGACCCTTTAAAAAAATTTTCCTTAATGGATAATCTCAGTCACTTTTATGGGTATGATTTACTTTGTACAAGTTCATCCACTTTTATTTCCTAATATGTACAAGTGTGATCTGAACAAATGCATTATGAGTACCATAATAAGCTCAAACATTTCTATGAATGAAAGCATAGAGAATCCCAGCCACAGAATCATTACACTGCCAATATCTGACAATAAACTGGCCATACTGTATGTTGGTATTTTGGTATATTCAGTAACACGCAAGTCTTGAAAATACACATTCAGACGCATGAAGTTTTGACGAATAATTTTCGACGCTCTTGCCAGTTTTATTTGGTCATTTATATCATACTCAACTTCAATACCTTGTGATAAATAATCAGTATACTTCTGTAAAGTTGAATTAAGTGTATCAAAGGCTTCTTTAACTAGTTCAGACGAATGTTTTGCCTTCATAGACAATGTTTCAAGGAGACTGAATTGGTAGAATTCCTCCGGCCAGTATGACATTGAAATAGACTGATCATACGAAGTTTCCATGCATGGTTCATAACACTCACAATGATCTTCATAGCTTCTGTCGTTAGTTATTTCTTTCATGACTTGTCTTTTACATTCAATCATTTCTAAATGAACTTCATCCTTGCCTTGGAAGAGGTCAGGTTGACTTCTCCAGTTCTTAATATTCAAACAGAAAGGAATATTTGAGTTGTGAGCATCTGGTAAAGCTGATGTCTTGCAGCCACATTTTTTAATCAGAATATCTTGTTGACATTGTTGTAAACATATGATTACAGCATTTTTGTCTGTCTGATTTTTGCTTGTTGAGCATTCACCATAAGGAAAAGGAAGTGTAGTGTGAAGACTTGCTGTCAGTCCTACATTAAGTGAATAGCCTGGTGGAACACCAAAACCTTGATAAATTGGTGTTGGAGGTGTGTCGGGAGAATTAATCTGGGCACGTATGCCAAGCCCATAAGAAGAAGGGTTGGTTATGTCATAGATTCCATAGCTGCCAGGTTGTTGAGGAGATCTGTCTCCAGTAGAGAGAATCAATGATAGACCATGATCTATTCCTGCTTGCATTTGATTAGTATTTCCTGTAAATGTGAAACAGTTGAAATAGGTTGTCCCGTCAAAATGGCGGGAAAAATTTTGTATTCCACAGTCTGCATTATTAAACCGGCAGCTTAAAACTAGGTCATCAAAACTGTGCCCAATATCAACCATGGGAAAATTTTCGTAAAATGCTTGATGAGATTGGAGTTTTGTCTTTATTTCGCCAACATTTGCAGTTTGTATGAATTGAAACAAAGCCAGTATGTCTGTGTTGTTTAAAATTACTTGATTGATCTTCATCATTGAGGTTGGATTTGTGTTACATAAAGTAAGTGCTGGAAAAGCAACCTGTGTCTTTCTTGATTTGTTGACGACTTCAACAACTGGATACGTGACATACTTCTTAACAACGGATACAATTTGAAATGTAGCAGTTATAAATGCCAGCACCACCAAAATAATCCAGAATATTCTACGTGGTGTAGAGCGAGCTTTTGCGATCTTTGATACTCCGTGTACATTACTCTGTGATCCAAGTATTTTCACTATCTTACATGATGATGATTGCCCCTCCAGGCCAATTCTATTTTCCATTCTCAGTGTCTATGTCTAGCAGCGGTCCTGAAAAGAACACATCAAATACTGTAAATCTGCAAAAATCTTTTTCAAAGCATAGAAAATTATTATCTTTTTTTTTTAACATATTTAAAATTATAAAAGTTTTGATTGTATCAAAAATTATATAAAAAAAATTGAACAAGAATTCTAAAAACTTTTTTAAAACCTTCAAAAATAAAAAAATTTACCACTTATAAATATTAAAAAATCCTTTTCATTAGATAATGTCATTATGACTACTTTAACCCAACAGATATTCAATTAAAAAGTCATAAAAGTTTAGGTTCATGAGAAAACAACTAATCAGTTTACTATAGCAATACAATCCACCAGAATAGCACACTCAGAAAATATTCTGTTTTGTCTACATTGAAAACAATAGAAAATAAATAAATAAGCAGAAAAAGAAACAAAAAACACAAATACAGGTAAAATCACTGATCTAGATATATATTTTTGAAGATAAACAATGTATTTAAATATAGAGAGAAATAAGGCATACCTATAATTTATCAAAGCCAAGTATTATATACAGATAGTAAATACTTCCTGGCATGAAATGTATATATCCACACTAAGTTTCTTGCAGAACTAACATTCCAGTTTTTTAGGAGGGATTCAAGACTAGATCATCTTTACCTGTTATTTGTATAACATGATACACATGATAAGGGAAGTCAGACAAACAAAGTTTCCTTACACATAATAGAATGTACACTATAAACTCTTAGGACATGGTATTCCTAATGCTTAATTTTACTGGATAGAATGTACACTATAAACTCTTAGGAAATGGTATTCCTAATGCTTAATTTTACTGGATAGAATGTACACTATAAACTCTTAGGAAATGGTATTCCTAATGCTTGATTTTCCTGGATAGAATGTACACTCTAAACTCTTAGGAAAGGATTTTCCTACTGCTTAATTTTACTGGATAGAATGTACATTATAAAGTCTTAGGAAATGGTATTCCTAATGCTTGATTTTCCTGGATAGAAGGTACATTATAAACTCTTAGGAAATAGTATTCCTAATGCTTAATTGTACTGGATAGAATGTTCACTATAAACTCTTAGGTATTGATATTCCTTATGCTTAATTTTACTGGATAGAATGTACATTATAAACTCTTAGGAAATGGTATTCCTAATGCTTAATTTTACTGGATAGAATGTACACTATAAACTCTTAGGAAATGGTATTCCTAATGCTTAATTTTACTTGATAGAATGTACACTATAAACTCTTAGGAAATGATATTCCTAATGCTTAATTTTACTGGATAGAATGTACATTATAAACTCTTAGGAAATGGTAACCCTAATGCTTGATTTTCCTGGATAGAATGTACATAAACTCTTAGGAAATGGTATTCCTAATGCTTTATTTTACTTGATAGAGTGTACATTATAAACTCTTAGGAAATGGTATTCCTAATGCTTATTTTTAATGGATAGAATGTACATTATAAACTCTTAGGTATTGATATTCCTAATGCTTAATTTTACTGATATAGCCCTCTTTAAGTAAAGCTTGAAAATCACCAGGTGTGGTTTAAAAACCTCTTACATAACTTTTTTACACTTGTCTGTTATTAAATGAAAGAGATAAGATCATTTATAGAGATATTTTGTTTGTTTTTATTATGCCCCCATTTCGAAGAAAAGGGGGTATATTGCTTTGCACTTGTCGGTCCGTCTGTCTGTCGGTCCGTCGGTCCGTAGACCAAATGGTTTCCGAGTGTTAACTAAAGAACCCTTAGGCCTAGGAACTTCAAACTTGGTATGGTGATTGGTCATGACCAGTAGATGACCCCTATTGATTTTGGGGTCAAGGGGTCAAAGGTCAAGGTCACATTGACCTTGAAAGCAAAAACGGTTTCCGATCAATAACTAAAGAACCTTAAGGCCTAGGAACTTCAAACTTGGTATGGTGATTGGTCATGATCAGTAGATGACCCCTATTGATTTTGGGGTCAAGGGGTCAAAGGTCAAGGTCACATTGACCTTGTAAGCAAAAACGGTTTCCGATCAATAACTAAAGAACCTTAAGGCCTATGAACATCAAACTTGGTATGGTGATTGGTCATGATCAATAGATGACCCCTATTGATTTTGGGGTCAAGGGGTCAAAGGTCAAGGTCACATTGACCTTGAAAGCAAAAACGGTTTCCGATCAATAACTAAAGAACCTTAAGGCCTAGGAACTTCAAACTTGGTATGGTGATTGGTCATGATCAGTAGATGACCCCTATTGATTTTGGGGTCAAGGGGTCAAAGGTCAAGGTCACATTGACCTTGTAAGCAAAAACGGTTTCCGATCAATAACTAAAGAACCTTAAGGCCTATGAACTTCAAACTTGGTATGGTGATTGGTCATGATCAGTAGATGACCCCTATTGATTTTGGGGTCAAGGGATCAAAGGTCAACGTCACATTGACCTCTTAGGTAAAAACGGTTTCCGATCAATAACTAAAGTACCTTTAGGCCTAGGAACTTCAAACTTGGTATGGTGATTGGTCATGACCAGCAGATGACCCCTATTGATTTTGGGGTTAAGGGGTTAAAGGGCAAGGTCACATTGACCTTGTAGGTAAAAATGCTTTCCGATCAATAACTAAAGAACCTTAAGGCCTATGAACTTCAAACTTGGTATGGTGATTGGTCATGAGCAATAGATGACCCCTATTGATTTTGGGGTCAAGGGGTCAAAGGTCAAGGTCACATTGACCTTGAAAGCAAAAACGGTTTCCGATCAATAACTAAAGAACCTTAAGGCCTAGGAACTTCAAACTTGGTATGGTGATTGGTCATGACCAGTAGATGACCCCTATTGATTTTGGGGTCAAGGGGTCAAAGGTCAAGGTCACATTGACCTTGTAAGCAAAAACGGTTTCCGATCAATAACTAAAGAACCTTAAGGCCTATGAACTTCAAACTTGGTATGGTGATTGGTCATGATCAGTAGATGACCCCTATTGATTTTGGGGTCAAGAGATCAAAGGTCAACGTCACATTGACCTCTTAGGTAAAAACGGTTTCCGATCAATAACTAAAGTACCTTTAGGCCTAGGAACTTCAAACTTGGTATGGTGATTGGTCATGACCAGCAGATGACCCCTATTGATTTTGGGGTTAAGGGGTTAAAGGGCAAGGTCACATTGACCTTGTAGGTAAAAATGCTTTCCGATCAATAACTTAAGAACCCTTATGCCTAGGAACTTCAAACTTGGTATGGTGATTGGTCATGACCAGCAGATGACCTATTGATTTTGGGGTCAAGGGGTCAAAGGTCAAGGTCACATTGACCTTGTAGGTAAAAACGGTGTCCGATCAATTAACTAAAAACGCTTAGGCCTAGGAACTTCAAACTTTGTGTGATGATTGGTCATGACCAGCAGATGACACCTATTGAGTTTTAGGTGAAGGGGTCAAAGGTCAACGTCACATTGACCTTGTAAGTAAAAACGGTTTCTGATCAATAACTCAAGAACGCTTGGGCCTAGGAACTTCAAACTTGGTATGGTGATTTGTCATGACCAGCAGATTACTCCTATTGATTTTGGGATCAAGGGGTCAAAGGTCAAGGTCACAATGACCTTGTATGTAAAAACGGTTTCTGATCAAGAACTAAAGAACGCTTCGGCCTAGGAACTTCAATCTTGGCATGGTGATTGGTCATGACCAGCAGATGACCCTCATTGATTTTGGGGTCAAAGGTCAAGGTCACATTGACCTTGTATGTTAAAACGGTTTCCGATCAATAATAAGAGAACCCTTAGGCCTAGGAACTTCAAACTTGGCATGGTGATTGGTCATGACCAGCAGATGACCCCTATTGATTTTGGGGTCAAGGGGTCAAAGGTCAAGGTCACATTGACCTTGTAGGTAAAAACGGTTTCTGATCAATTTACTAAAAACGCCTAGGCCTAGGAACTTCAAACTTTGTATGATGATTGGTCGTGACCAGCAGATGACCCCTATTGAGTTTTGGGTAAAGGGGTCAAAGGTCAAGGTCATGACCAGTAGATACTTTATAACCCTTATTAATTGTTTGATCACTGGGTCAGAAGTCATGCATAATAACCTTATCACATGACTAATTGGCTGCTGATAGGGGGCATACATGTTTTACAAACATATCTTGTTTAATAGAATTTTAAAAATCAATTTAAACATACAATAAAAAAATCCAATAGAGCTGTATCATCCATAATATGAGTGATGTACTGTGAGTGATATGGATTTTATTTCACTGAAAAACCTGTTAAGTTTAAAATTTACACATATAAATGTATATATCATTTGTTGTTGGCTGTAAATTGTATTTTAGACAATTGATAACACAAATCTGACTGTAATAGTTATTCTTTCAGATTATAGATCAGATATTGGCTGTAACAGTAATTGGTTGTTTGTAAACTGATGTTCTATAAGCTACATGTTTACATTACAGACATATTGTTTTCTCTAGATGATATTGTTATGATTTAGTTTCACAGTATAAATGACTAGCACAAATTTACCATCTTCAAATTGGTTGATTCTTTGATAACTTACACACAAGTCAGTTGTAATCAGTGCCTCCCAACCCTAGGAAATAGCAGGGATTTGTCTTGTTGGATTATCAAATTTCTTGAAAAGGCCCCTCAATGCCGGAACATTAAAGTAGTTATATCCTTGCTAAAAGCCCTCTTGTCATTTGAACACGGTGACTGTACAGGCAAAGACAGGCAGCAGGTAAAAACACATTTTCCATTGTGGATATTGGGCTTGGGGTTACAATAGACTAACCAGTGCATAGATGGAAATAAAAGTCCAGATGCTTTTAAGATATATTTTCTTTTACAGTACATGAACATTGTATCAACTTTCATGATAAATCATGTTGACTTTACTGCATTAAAATTTCCCCTCAAGTTTTGTGCCCAATTAATGAGGAGGGGAACATATAGATGTTTGTTGGATATATTGTCATGACACTCTCATTGGCATTGGCATTGGATAACCTTTTCATTAATAACAGGTTAGTTATCCAGGTAAGCTGGTTGGGTGGATCAACCCCTGAGATTTGACTAAAATGTGTTAAAATCAGCATAAAATTCAGAAAACCAAACCAAACCTGAATAATGGGCAACAGATTATGTATATGTACAATCATAGTAATAATATTTAAATTATAATTAATATACAAACTGTAATTGTTAAGGAGAGCATGTTAATTGTTGACATGTTTGCTGCTCAACCCAATGTTTATACACATACTAATGTATTTGTTATTATTAAGTTTAAAGTTTTTACTGATTTTTTTATATATGATAATTTCAGCAAGTTGTGAATCTGACAGATGGTTGGACAGAATATTACAGACCACAAGGAGAGTATAGGGAGGATTCTACTCATGAAGATGTTGTGTTACTGCTGGAGGCTAGGAGACCTACCAATGTTGATACTTTCTTAGAACACGAGCTACAAGTGTCCCCTGCTGAGAAAGTTCATGTAAGCATATTTGTTAATTTTGATATTAAAGTAGGACCTGTTTGGCTTTTATTAATCAGTGGGACTGTTTGGCCTTTATCCTGGTGATATACACATATATAAGTAGAAAAAAATCTGGAAAAAATGTGATCCCTCAAAAGCATTAATCACAACAAAATTACATGAAAATTGCAGACTATGTTTAATTGAGTCTGTACATGAGTGATAAAGTTAAAAGTTTATACAAATTTGTTCTGACATAGAAGATATGTACAGATTACAGAACACAGAGACAAACATTAGTTTACAATAAGTAATGCTACGTGCATACCAATAATTTTACTGAAAAACTACAAAGACAGGCCCTTAACTTAAAGTCAAAGAAATACATGTATTAAATTGGCTTATTCCAATTTAAGATCTTTACATAATGTTCATGGTTTATATATGTATACATGTATTCATGTGTATGTCCACAAATTGTAAACCTTCAAAAAAGATATTTAGATTGAGAGTAACTAAGAAATTAAATGTGAATGATAAGAAAATACTATAAAGAAATGTTATAATGCAGATACTAGCTCATGGTGCTGCAGTGGCATGGAAGTCAGGTTCTTCATTTGGGATTATTTTACACTGTACCTTGGACGAGTTTGTCACACTGTCCATGGCATTTTGTGAGGATCGTCTTACGATGGATGAAGATCTAGAAGTTCACTCGATCATGTGTATGTGATTTATTACTTTAAATGATGCAGATTAATTATTCCTTTCCTGTTCCATCAGTTAATACTTTGTGATGATGGTTAAATATTAAGAAACCAATGCAGAATACCATCCTTAAACTTTTTCATATCGGTAGATTTTACTGTCAGAAGATCACATTTTACTTGAAATTAAGCTTTACCTGTGAAAAATGAGACATTAAAATGAAAATGTAAAGATTTTTTTGTAAGTAAATGTTAAGTATTCCTTTAACTTTTTATTAGGAAAATTTATAGGATATAAAGCTGTATCTAATGACATATTTTTATAAAATTTCAAGGCAGTAAAATTGTATTGTGTTCAGTATCTAATGACTGATTCTCAAGAGATTTGTAACATAGAATGTCTCTGTTATATAGCCAACATGAATATTGTATGTAAACAGAGTAAAATGTTAGAAAACATGCTGCTGTTTCATGTAGGGTTTTAACCTCTTGACAATTGTTTTTGTGCATGCACTAATTCCTCTTCAGGTAATATACTAACATTTTTCTTGCATTTTGGAATTATTCTTTTTAATATTCAAATAATAAGTTTGTAAATTGCAGACAGCAGATATATAGCTTTAGACACTTAAATATGTAAAAAAATAAAGGGTTTTATTCAGGTTTTCCAATGGAAAACTCTGGTTATTAGATTGGCAAATATTAGTGGCATGCTTGGTGTAAAGAATTTTACTGTGCAATATGTTGTAAGGGATTTCAACCAGTCTTTGTTTTGAGTTTGTGACAATGCCCTTTCATTTATTTTCCTTTCTATTGTGAAAATGTAAGGAGCTTTTCCAGCTTGAAAAAATAATTGGTATTTTTTTTGCATTCAAGCTATTAAAACAAATAGATCTTTTATTTTTCAATTGTAAGAATTGGATAATTTATTTCTTCTTTCAGCTGTAAAAATTGAAGGAAAATCATCTAGTCTAGTGTTAAATCAAGAGATAGACACAGATACTGCTAAAAAAAGTGCCTTAAAACCAAAAAGAAATTCTGCTGACACTGATACAAATGACAGTAATGCAGGAGATGGCAATGATATTGCTAAACAGTTGGCACATTTATTAGCCCCACCCCAATCAGAGCAGGATCAGTTAACTGATTTATGGTCCAATGAATCGTTGGCGTCAAATTCATCAATTGGACGTACTTCAGAGCTTCTTGATATGATAGATGCTGAATCGCAGGACGCGGAAACAGTTGATAGGTCAATGATGGAAAGTGGGGCCGGAGAAGAATTGAGTGATTTTGAACTTGCAGGTAGCTCTAGTAGCACTTCAGGGTCTCTTAGTCAAAGTTGGAAGTTTGTTCGTCAAGCATCTGTTGCAAAACCACCAAATGTTCTTGTGTATGCTGGCAAAATAGACTCAGTTAGAAAATTTAACAAAGTCAAGAAAATCATGCAACAGTGCCTAGATAGTGAATCTTACGTGATTTATCACTTGAAACACGAGGAATTAGAAACTACTCCTTGGATTGAAAACACAGTTCTATTAGTACTTGCATCAAAGAAAAAATACACAGATGCAAATGAAACCTTTATGAAATATTTCAGGGCCGGGGGAAAAATACTTGGTTTAGGAAGTGGATTTGATCAAGAATTAGTGGAACAAACCTTAATACGTAAGGAGAACTGGATCGTAAATTTGAAATACAAGACATGGTCTGATGTTTCACTTATTTCAGGAATGTATTCTTATGATATTTCCAAAACCATTGCTGAGGACAGTCATGTTACAAAGCTTGCGTCAGACACAAATGGCAATGTGCTCATTGTAAGAGTTAACCAGGAAACAAAAGGAAGTGCTGGCTCAGCGATATTGTCACAGGTTTTATAAATTTGAATTTCTTCAGCCATAATAAAAGTCTTCTGTATGACACTGTTCCTCATTAAGTACTGTGCACATTTCTGTCCAAGAAACTTAACACTCATTGCTTAGTACTGGTTGGTTCCAGGAATAGATTCAAGAATGTTTCAGTAAACTTATATAGCTTCAAGCACAATCAAACTAAAATACATGTATATATTAGTATAAACTAAAGTAACTTTGGAAAGAAAGAGTAGTTTTGGGGTGCTATATGAGGTTGTTGGTTTGAGCTCCTCCAGATGCTATAGTCACTTTTCACTTTCATGCTGCACACTGGTGCATTGACTTGATAAAACACCTTAAGATACTGTCATCACATGTAATTTTAAATCTATATATCTATGTTCCAAAAACAAATTGACATGAATGGGAAAACAAACAAAGAAATCATGATGATTATTTTGCTGGCCTTAAAACGCGTCAGACTAGTAATCTAATGATTGCTAGCCACATGGGTAAAAACCCCATCAGAAATACAGTATAATAAGTGTTAGAAAATGATAAAGTAAAATGAAATAAAGCAGACTAAAATAAATCAATCTATCATCGGTCTCACTCTGTTGTAGAGTCAGCTTATAGTTATATAATTATAACAGGTCCTATTTGACAAGGATGCAGGAGATATGGGAGTGACACCAGAGATGTTTAATGCCTTAAAGAAATCTAACAGTGCCAGGTTTGAGATTCTAGGACAACTTCTCACCACACTTGGTCTGGAGTGTAACACAGCTTCTCCACCAGTGCTCACACCAGCTGTTCTTGTAGCAAGAGAAGAGGTAGCTTTAATTTCCTGTTATAAAAACTGTGGTTTGATATGGTTTTAAGACAATTTTTATGTTAAATGATGAGAAAAAAATGTTATTTTTCATGCTTTGACTGTTAAAGGCACATTATACCCTAAAAATGATTTTAATTTTTTTTTTTCAAAAGCTTTGTATTGTTTTGGTGTACTTTTAAAGTTTTTAGAATCTTACTATTTGGCCAATTACCTGAACCATTATTCTTCTGTTGCATTCTCGCAGTACAGTTGTTGTGAAATAGTTTGTATGGAAGTCAAAATACCACTTTGTTAAGTAAAGAAAAAAATTATATTTTGGTATTTTTTGACAAATAATTTTAAATTACACACAACTTTCTTATAGATACAATATGACTATTATAAATACTGTTCATTCTCCACCCGTGTTTTGAATTAGAACAAGAATAGATTTATACTGATACGAAATTCTTGAACTTTGATTAATTGCCTGCTGAAATCTGACTGAAAAAATCATAATTAAAAGTATAGAAGCAGTATTAACAATATAACTTTGTTTTCAGATTTCTAAACAGAGCTTTTTGAAGTCTATAGAGAAAAGGCTATTATCTGGCGTGTTAAAGTTTGGAAAACAGACCTTACATTTTACAGCAGACGACAGTGTACCGGCTGAGGAAAATCTACTTCCTGTTCTCACTGAAGAGAGTGAACCTTTTCTGAAGAACTTCAACAAGGGAAAGTACTGTGAGAACTTGAAGAGTAGGATTCTGGGAAATACTGTTATGTATGTGGATGTGATTCCAACAACAATGACACTGCTGGATGGGTAGGAGACAAGTCTTAATTAGTTTCTTAATGATGATTTTCTTTGTATCTAATAAAGTAACTATAGTAAAAAAAAAATGGAGAACAATTGTTGGAAAACAGTGAGTAATTGACCGTTTTTCCGCCTTCAGCCAATATCTTCTAAATAGAGAAAGTTAAGTATGGTAACTCTGATGAAAATTGCACAAAACCATTACAGAAATTCAGAAGGTGTAGGATTAAAAAGGCATGTATTAGTGACCTGTTAGAAAGAGCTTTGCTATATAAGTTGTTTCTGAAGAGTTGTCATTAAGAATTTTACTATATTATAAAGTTGTTGCTGAAGAGTTATCATTAAGAATTTTACTTTAAAAGTTGTTTATAAAGAGTTATCATTAAGAGTTTTACTTAAAAGCTGTTTCTGAAGAGTTATTGTTATCTATGACAAACTGATTAACATTAAAAGGAACAACATAAAACATACTGACAATATTTGATCAAAACATTCTAGATGATTGTATCTTTCTATTTATAGATTGATGTTTTCAGTTCCAGAAACCACTGGTCTTATTGCTATAGCCAGACAACAAACACAGGGTGTAGGTGAGGTACAATATAATCAATTATGTTGTCATAGTGACCATCTTCTTGTTGTCATAGTGGCCATATACTGACTGTCAAAAGAACCAACTTTTGATTTTCATCATGATCATTCTTTTGTTTCTATAGTAACCTTGCTCTGACTCTCCAAGTGACCATCTTCCATTGTCATAGTGATCATCCTTGGGTTGTCACAGTTATCATCCTTCATCTTCAGGTTGTCATGGTGATCATCCTCCAGTTGTCATAGTGATCATTCTCAGGTTGTCATAGTGATCATCCTCAAGTTGTTATAATGATCATCCTTCAGTTGTCATAGTGATCATCCTCCAGTTGGCATAGTGATCATCTTCTTGTTGTCATAGAGATCATCCTTGGCTTGTTATAGTGATCATTTTCAGGAAGTCATATGATCATCCTTTGGTCGTCCTCTGATTGTAATAGTGACTAATATCTGTTTACCAAAGTAACCCTACTCCAATTCATCTGGTTGTTATAGAAACCTTTGTCAATTTGAATAAAGGCCTTTTAGATATAAATCAGTTGTTCCACCCTGGTGCTAACTTTTGCCTGCAATAACACATAGAGAGACATCTACAGATTTCCAAAAAAAGTACTATTGAAAACTTAAGGTGTCAGTGTTGGAAAAAGAAAATCTAAGAAGTAGATAATCTTAATAAGAATGTTTTTGAAATATCACTACATCACATCATTTGCTAAATTTATTTGTTGTATTATTATATAGGAAGGGGAGGTAACAATTGGTTAAGTCCTATTGGATGTGCTATGTTCTCCTTACATGTGAAATTACCCGCGGACAGTAACCTGGGCAAGGCTGTATCTTACCTTCAGCATATTACCTCCCTTGCTGTTGTGTACAGTGTGTGTAAACAGGAAGGCTATCAGGTACCAATGCTCATTACATTAACTAAACATTACATATCTTAACCAGATTGTAAAGAAATCTTACAGTTTATTTTCATGCACTTTTTTGTTCGCTCCTTAAACTATAAAAACTTATGCTTGTATGGTGTGGATAAACATGGTCATTACCCGAAACAGGCTCAAACCTTTGATCCTTGGTTATAGAGGCAGGTAACTTAACCATGACTCTACCTTATAGTGAATTGGTTCATAATATAGGTTTGTAATTCCACAAATAATTATGTTACCACAAATTTGCCAACTGTTGACCAATTAATTTTAAACTTTAACAACATTGAATGAAAATAACTGTACCGAGAGATTGTATTCACATCTCACTACACATTTTATTTTTATGAAGATGATTGAATATTATATAACATTTAAATTTGTTTTGATCATTTTACAAAGGATATAGATTTACGACTTAAGTGGCCAAATGACATATACTATGGTAGAGAGATGAAACTAGGTGGTGTAATTGTGAAATCTACATTCATGGACGGCATGGTGCATGCTACTATAGGTAAGCATCATTCTTTGAAAATATTGGAAAGGTTGATTTTTCTTATTTCATGTCCAATATTAAGAGACATCCTGTGTCAAAAAGGTAAATAGTCATGTGAGGAAGCTATCCAGCAATCTTACAGAAACTAAAGTGGTTCTACTCAGGTGCTTGTTTGTTCCTAAAATAATGCACAGAGGAGCACCTGAGGTTTTCCTCCAGCAGTTAAACTGGAAAGTTGCCATTTGACCTTTCCAAAAAAAAAACAACAAAATCTAACATGTTCTTTGTTAATCATATCAGACTGAATTTGGTACCAGAGCTTGATAATGTCACTTAACAACCCCTAGTTGCATGATTTACTGTGTCCTTTAACTGACATCATCCAGACACTGGTGTATTGATGAAGTAGTAGATTTATTGCTTCTATAAATTAATTGTTATGAACATTTTTTGTAACTAATTTATTGAAGTAGAAAAATTGGGTATTTCTGTAAGAAAGAGAATCAAACACTGACTGCCATCAGACGTTGGAATGTTTGGCTTATTGGTAACAGTTTTGTGGAAAATTAACAGAGCCTTGTTACTGCTTTCTCAACTTTTTTTGACACAGATATTCTAGTCAGTCTGTACAGGCAGTCAATGTAAGAGTCCTACATAATCCTCAAATAGTATCATAAATGTGAACTCTCCCACTTTAAGCGGGAAACTCCCACTTTCTGCAGCCATATTTTCAAAGATTTTTCTTAAAATAAGGGGTATTTTCACAAATTAAAGAAATCTCCCTATTTTTGATGTCAGACCTTCCTTCTTTGTTTATTGCAAATTATAAAATCTCCCTCTTTTTGAAGTAAAATCACCCACTTGATCATCAAAAAAAAGTTCACATGTATGATAATATTGAAAATGTCTTGAGACATTTATATTGCTTATCTTGTAGATAGATAGATAGATTTATTTCGGCAAAGGAGGCGTATACATAGTTGACAACATAACATAGGATAAAATAATGAGCATTATTAAATACTTTATCACATATGAGAAAAGTATGACATGCTCACCAAAACCAAGGATAACACAAAAAAGGGCAAGCCCTTATTTCCATTGTGATCCTTAGTATTGGCGGCATGACATAGAGAGGCAGACCTAAATATAATCATGTTTAAAAATACTAATAAAGTCATAAAAATGTATATCACAGTCAAATCTTGAGTTAATGACACTCTTGTATACAGCTAGGATTTAAAACACATTACTAAAATTGTAAAAAGATGATAAGCAAACAATTTAAAATCCTGAGCCGAAATATGTAAAAACCTAAAAAAAAAAAATTAAATACTGTTTATAAGATGACTTTTGATGGCAACCTTAAAACTTTGTAACCTGTTGATCTCTGTTAACTCTAAAGGTAAATCATTCCATAATTTAATACCAGAGAAAGCAAAGGATTTAGATCCATGACCTTTGACTTAAGTATTCAATACCCACCCTTTTGACTAAGTCTTGTACTGAAATTATGTACGGAATCTTGCCAAATAAAGTGTTCACCCATGTAATCCGGAGACAGGCCATTTTTTATCTTAAAAACATGACACAACATTATCTGTTCAACTCTTTTGTGGACCGGTAACCAGCTAAGGGACTCAAAGTGGGATGGGTCAATATTGGCTCTGGAATGCAAGTCAAGTACAAATCTCATTATTTTATTTTGACGAGTTTGTAACTTATTTTTTAAAGACTGTGTCAAGCTATTATACCAAACAGAGCATGCGTAATCATAGTGACACTAAATTAGAGACATAACCAGAAGTTTCTTGGTATGCTTGTGAAGACCATATCAGTCAAGTTTTATTTTCTCTAAATAATATTGATTTTTTGCTCTCTCAAGTCCTCTACTGTTCTGAATATCACAACATTACTAAATGTTATGAGAGAATATCAATGTATAACCTGTTTTTAACCTGAAATTATGTACGGAATTACTAAACGTTAAAACAGACTATCAATACATTACTTTTTGTTATAACAGGATGTGGATTTAATGTTGACAACAGCAATCCAACCATCTGTATCAATGATCTGATCCAGCTACATAATCGCCAGGATGGAACAAGCCTAACCTCCTGTAGTACGGAGCAGCTGATTGGTCGATGTGTCACATACATAGAGAATCTTATAGATCAGTTTCAGGCAGAGGGTGCTGAAAGCTTCAAGCAGATGTACTATGAAAAGTGGCTTCACAGGTATACAGAACTGTGTTCCTATTCTTTTTAAAAATGTCCTATTCAATATTTTGGACAGTGTTTACTTTTCTGCTTTAGGCATTAATTAAGGGCCTCGCACTTTCTTTTTGTTAATTAGAAAGTAATCAAATTACCTTCATTTAATTATTTGTCACCAAGGTACTTTAATTTTTGTGACATGTCTCAAAAAATTATAGAAATGCTTTAGGCATCTGTCTGGTTATTCTTTTTGCATCAAGTGCCTGAAACTTTCTTTTTGTTAGAAATTAATCAAATTAGCTTTCATTTACTTATTTGTCACCAAGGTACTTTACTTTTTGTGACATGTCTTAGAAAATTATAGGAACGAAACAAAATACATGTATTATAGTTTTCTTGTTCTAAAAATCGGAATTATTTTTATGGTTAATTTAGTTATAATGTTGTATATTTTTACTTTTTATAGCCTTAGCAGAAAAAAAGAAATATAGGCCTCTTAATTGTCCCTAAAAAAGTACCCCTTATGGATTGGATTTGTGTTATCCCCCCCCCACCCCCCCCCCCCCCCCAAAAAAAAAGCAACATAGAAAAAAGACAATTTTGTCAACTTTTTTTAATAGTCAGTTGGCTATAAAACTTATTCCTTGAAATTGTTTATTCTTTCAGTAACAATACAGTGACTCTTCAATCTGAAGGAAACAAAGAAGTTAAAATAGTAGGCCTCGATGAGTACGGCTATTTGCTGGTGGAGACCCCTAGTGGCGAGAAGATAAGCGTGCAGCCTGACGGAAACTCATTTGACATGATGAAAAACCTCATTAGTATGAAAATCAGATAGATTCATGTATGGAATGTCTTGCTGAAAAGTATATCTATAACACAGATGTATTAAAAAAAAATTTTTTTTTTTTTCTGAATTTAACTAATTTTTGGACATATCGCGGCAGTCAGTCTACCTTACCGTCTTTCCTGGATAACCAACTAGTAGTTCTAAATATCTCCTCAAATGACCGACTACTTGTCCCAAATGATTTCTAAATTGGCAGTGAGTTTTCTAAATCCAAAACTGTATTTATTCAATAACATTAGTCCTGATTATACTTAATTGTGAATTTTGCATGTCTCCTGTTTTGAATATGAAACTGTTTATTTTAAATGAAAGAGATTTTGATGTCAGAATGATACAATTATGCTGGCAATAATACATATATAAGGTGTTGTCAGAATGCAATGCTAGAAGAATGGAGAGAAAAAATATTTGGCATAAAGTGCAAAGTATGAATCTGAACCAGAAAAATTGGTATTTGTATTATTTAATAGAATTTTATACAGAAACTCCATCATATACAAGTACTTCCATATATCACCTGTTGTTCAGTATATTATTACAAAAAGGTATATATTTTTGTATTTCACTAAATGTAGTAAGTGTATCATACCTGCATGTGTCTGCATTCACAGATTTGGCGCTCCTGACCACCACACAACTTCTCAATTGCTAAAATAACCAAAGAACTCACATTTTTGTAAAATCTCATCTCACTAAATCTCACACTTTAATCATACAAACAAGTAAAAATTAATTTAAGCCGGTTTGTGGAAAGAAAACCCAACAAAAAGGGTATCCCATCAGTATTATGTGTTTCACCAAATGCCTTAAGTTATGGTTGTGAAGTTTAGTCAAATGTTCAACTTAGTCTCATCGTGCCATCTATGTTTACATTCAGAATAGTTCTGTGTATGGTAGTTCACTGTTTCATGATAAGTTCATAATAACACTGTAATAGTGTATTGATTGTAGCAGATATGTGTTTCACCTCATTCATACATCAACATGTTCTCGGCTTTATTTCTATAATAGCCCTATTTAGGTTTTTGGATCTGTCCATTTTTTGGCAGGGAAAATGTCATTTAATTTCCTTTACTTTATTTTGAGTAAAACACAGAAAGCTGCAATCATATGGCCAATGAATCTTTGTGGTTTTTTTTGCTGTGTCATGATTGGTTTAAAAATCGTCAAAATGCTAAATATATATTAAAAAAAAAAAAACACAGAAAATTCTAAATAGTTCATAAACGTAAGAACTCCCCAAAAATGCTTTATGTTTATTAAATAATTTCCCATATATGCTGTATTTTAATCATTTGCTCAGATAATCATTGATAAATAATGTTTTCAACCATATTTTTTGTATGATATCATAATTTCATAATTTTTGTTCAGATATTTTTATCATAATTAGATACTTGAAATGATATATTTTGATGTATATTTTGGGTATATTTGGCTGTATATCTTTCTCTTCCTATGAAAATGAGATTTTTTTATCAAATGTTACTGTCACTGGATTCTGACTGTTTTTATTTATTCTGTTATTTTTCTTAGACTGTTTATGATTATTTAGCCAAAGTTTATAAAAGCCTTGTGTAAATTATGTACTGTTTGATTTACAGCCCCTGTTTCTGTTTTATGATAGCCATATTGTCTCATTTGAGCCATGATTTGGCTATTTAAATCCCATATTGAATAAATTGAAACTTTGTGTATTGCAGTATTTTATTCTGTAGCTTCTTCACTGCACAACTGATAAATTTAGTGTTACAAGAGTACTTGCCCTTATTTTCCAATTTTATAGCCTTATTGTTTGGCAGATTTGTTTGATGCTACTTGATTGTTGTACTTGTTCAGATTGTTCATTTACCCTCTAAATGTATAGTTTTTTTTTACTTTTGTAATAACCATTTATTTTACACATAACATGATATATATTTATTCAGATATGTCAGTGTGAACTTGAATAAGTGCTAACAATTTGTTGTTGTTTTTTTTGTTGTGTTGGTCGAAGGAAATATTTACATCTTTCTTTTTCATAATCAAATATATTTTTGTTAAGTTGTGAGTTAATGATATATGAAATATTTGCATTTATGCAATCTTATGCATAATATTAAATGCACAAAAAAAAAGAGTATGCATGATTTTTGTCATATTGTTTTTGTTATCATCATTATTAAATGATATGTTATAGAGGTTGAGTACAGAATTGCAAATATTTGAGCCGCTCCATGACAAAACCAACATAATGCACTTGCGACCAGCATGGATTCAGACCAGTCTGCACATTTGCGCAGTCTGATCAGGATCCATGCTGTTAACTTATAAACCCTATAAAAAGAAACAGATAACGCACGGTATGGATCCTGATCAGACTGCGCGGATGGGCAGGCTAGTCTGGATCCATGCTGGTTTCAGACGCATTGTGTTAGTTTTGTCATGACGCAGCTCATTTATCCCAGCTGTTGTTTGTTTTGTGCATTGTTTTGTTTGCTCTTGGCTAAAATAATGCACTGAACAAAATGTCCCATATGATAGTTGCTAAGTGTGAAATCTAAGTGTGAAATGTTTCAGTTCAAACTATAGTAGTGTGCCTTAGCACTTAGGAATATAAAATGGCTGATTTTTTAATCAATTATAAGTACTTTGTGACCTTGATCTTGACCTTGTGACCATGATCTGTACAAGGGCAAGGTCATTGACTTTTAATACAAAGCATAGCTGTACATATTTTTTTTTAAATATTTGATTACATTTATATCATTTTGTATCGCTGCAATCTTATTATGGTTATGTTTATATATGATAAAAGTTGATTTTTTTATATAAAAAGGTAGATGAAGAATATAACATGTAGACAGTAAGGTGATCATTGCTAAATTTGTACATAATGTTTTGAACAGTTTGTATAGTATTACCATGCTTGATATCTTAAATAAAATTGTTCATCTTTCAATCTGAGGAGAACCATTCATAATTTTAAGTACAGTTTCAAATAATAAGTTATGATTGATTAGTGTAGTGAACTGTGCAGAGCATATCAAACAGCATGGATGTTCATGCTGATCTTGGTTGGCACTGGTTGCATTGGTAAAATCAGTCGTTGCCAGCAGGTATTAAACGGTTGATGTGAACAAGTGTTGTTATTTTGTTGATCTTAAGGATGACTTTTATTAGAATTTATGCTGATATTTATGGTATTTTGTATCAGCTCTTCATTTATAAAGTTTATATGTTTTCATCTCATGTGAAACATGTATCACAAGCTGGTAATGGTGAACACTTGTTTTTACTTTTATTTTAAATAAAATCAGATTTTTTGAAATCCAGTTATTATTGAAGAAGTTAAAATCCATGGCAACATTTTAAATGTTACTTTAAATTAAATGCTTTTATGCTAATATAAATAAGAATTGAACTTAATATATAGATTGTTTGCTTAATTTTGTAGTTAGTAAACAGCAATTTGGTTTAAAGGTCATTATTAAAATAATTTATTTTGAGATGTCATAATAATAACAGTTGCTGACTTTTTTGAAAGCCATAATAAAAAACATTTTCTAGTGAAATGTTAAGAATGTTGTAATAAAAACTATTGCAGAAATGTTTTGTAAGCCACTTTAAAAAGAATTCCTGAATTTGTAATTGTAGCCATAATAAGAACAATTTTTAGTGATATTTTTGAAAGTCATTATGAAAACAATTCCTGAAATGTTTTGAAATCCATAAGATTTATTGCTTATTTTTTTTGAAAGCTATAATAAGAACAATTGCTGAATTGTTTTGAAAGTTATAATAAGAACAATTGCTGAATTGTTTTGAAAGCCATAAGAACATTTGCTGAATTGTTTTGAAAGCCATAATAAAACAATTGCTGAATTATTTTGAAAGCCATCAGAACAATTGCAGTAATGTTTTGAAAGCCATAATAAAAACAATTGCTGAAATGTTTTGAAAGCCATTAGAACAATTGCAGAAATGTTTTGAAATCCATAATAAGATTTATTGCTGAATTTGTTTTGAAAGCCATCAGAACAATTGCAGAAATGTTTTGAAAGCCATAATAAAAACAATTGCTGAATTGTTTTGAAAGCCATCAGAACAATTGCAGAAATGTTTTGAAAGCCATAATAAAACAATTGCTGAATTATTTTGAAAGCCATCAGAACAATTGCAGTAATGTTTTGAAAGCCATAATAAAAACAATTGCTGAAATGTTTTGAAAGCCATTAGAACAATTGCAGAAATGTTTTGAAAGCCATAATAAAAACAATTGCTGAATTGTTTCGAAAGCCATACTAGGAACAATCGCTGAATTGTTTTGAAAGCCATAAGAACAATTGCTGAATTGTTTTGAAAGCCATAAGAACAATTGCAGAAATGTTTTGAAAGCCATAATAAAAACAATTGCAGAAATGTTTTGAAAGTCATACTAAGAGCAATGGCTGAATTGTTTTGAAAGACATAAGAGCAATGGCTGAATTGTTTTAATAAGAATTCCTGGATTTTTTTGGTGATGTTTTTTGAAAGTTGTTTGTAAACAATCCTTGAAATGTTTTGAAAGTCAAAATAAGTGTAATTTCTGTTTTTTGAACGCCATAATAAGAACAATTGCTGAATTTGTTTTGAAGGCCATAATTTAGAACAATTGCTGAATTTGTTTTGAAGCCCATTAATTAGGACAATTGCTGAATTTGTTTTGAAGGCCATAATTTAGAACAATTGCTGAATTTGTTTTGAAGGCCATAATTTAGAACAATTGCTGAATTTGTTTTGAAGGCCATAATTTAGAACAATTGCTGCATTTGTTTTGAAAGCCACAATTTAGAACGATTGCAGAATTTGTGTTGAAGCCATAGTTTAGAAAAATTGCTGAATTTGTTTTGAAAACAATTATCTAGATCAATTGCTGATTTGTTTTGAAGGCCATAATTTAAAACAATTGAGGAATTTGTTTTGAAAGTCATAATTTAGAATAATTGTTGAATTTGTTTTGAAGGCCATAATTTAGAACAATAGCAGAATTTGTTTTGAACGTCTTTATTTAGAACAATTGCTGAATTTGTCTTGAGGGCCATAATTTAGAACAAAAGCTGAATTTGTTTGAACCCCTTAATTTAGAACAATTGCTGAATTTGTTTTGAAATCCATAATTTAGAACAATTGCTGAATTTGTTTTGAACCCCATAATTTAGAACAATTACTGAATTTGTTTTGAAGGCCATAATTTAGAACAATTGCTGCTGTTGTAAATGACCTACCTCTAAATGACAATCGTTGTTTTTAGTTGGAACTGTTTACTTATAATTATAGTTATTTGTCAATTTAATGATCTGTTCCACATGGAAATAAGAATAAATTATGTCATACTTTTTTTTCTATAATCTTTGTCAAATCTTTGGCAAAAGATAAAACTAACAATGAAATGGCAGTCTTACTGGTGAAAACTAAACTTAATTTGCTGAATTGTTTAGTGATCTCATCCTGCTTGGAAATTGGAGCAGCAGTCTATTTACAGTTTTAAAATGTTGTAAAAGATATGCTACGGACAATTGTGAGCACAGATGTACAGTACTGTCTTTCTCTTTAATGGTGGCAAATGCTAAAATAATCACTTTAGAGTAAACTTAACACTGCAAGAGTGTAAATGTTGCTACACCAAGATTCAAAATTTGAGTATAACTAATGGTATTATTGAAACTCGAAAAATCGAAAAAACAACAACAACAAAAAGCATATGTAGATGTGTTCATACTGCTATAGGGTAAGAAATGATTCAACAAAGATATTACATTGAAGTTCACTCATCAAAAAACGCAATTTATAAACTGCAACTGGTATTTTACACCATTAAGGGTATTTAATTGTTTTCTTTCTGATTATAAAACTTATATTTTATTTCTTTAGGGTATCACCATTGAGATTACTAGACTTTCTTCATAGTTCATACAAGACAACCATAAATATGTATAAATCTTTACCTAAACAAGTCCTATTTTATTTTATCCACAACAAACAAGAAACAAGACAATCATTTATGTTAAAAAAGAAGAAAAAGCCCATAAAACAGTAATATATCTTGACTTTTATTTACTATTTGATATGCAAAAAATTTAGGTTTTTTTTTGGTCAAAAATACATAGATATTTGTGGTGTTTCATTTTGTTAGTTTGTATTAGGAGTGGAGTATATATGAATCTTACACTGGCTGCCAGTACAGACCGGAATATCTAGCTCTGCAGAGTTTCCGCTAAACAGTAACCCGAGAGCAAGATATTCCCGTCTGTACCGACAGCCGGTGTTTGATTCTTTTTCTTGCATATTACATGTCAATTATTTTCTGAACAGAAATTACGAACACCGATATTCTCATTACGCACTTTTTTCTTATAGTAGCGTATGAACGTACAACTTCATTCATAACAGTTAAGTGACGTCATCCTAAGAACGCATTCATAAAAGTCGCGCAACAATGACGTCATTTAAAGCATGCGACTTGTCTTACATGGGGGGGTGTAAGACAGGGTTTTCTAGCACCGGTGTAAACGGTAGATAATCCTGTCTGATATGAAAGAAAAGGGTATCTAAGTTTCTAGAGAGGGATCATCACCTCAGTGCAGTAACTGGTTAACTCCTATTGAATATTTATTTTGAGTTAACCTGCACTTAGGTGCCAATGTGTATTTCATTGACGTAACTATCATTTCTTTCTGTGTGTCTTTCACTAGACATCAGCATTATATATAATTAATGTTGATAAAATTATATAACAAGCCTTTGTTTGGCAATTCAATATGTTTTGGTTTTTTTGTTTTTTAGCTCACCTGTCACAAAGTGACATGATAAGCTTTTGTGATCGCTTTTCGTCCGGCATCCATCCGGTGTCTTTCTGTCGTCCGTCCACCCGTCCATAAACGTCCATAAAATTTACTTTAAACAACATCTCTTTATAAACCGCTAAGCCAATTTTATCCGAACTTCACAGGAATGTTCCTTTGGTAATCAACTTTAAAAATTGTTCAAAGAATTTAATTCCAAGGAGAACTCTGGTTGCCATGGCAACCGAAAGAAAAAAACTTAAAATATCTTCGATTAGAAAACCGTAAGAGCTAGAGCATAAATATTAGGCATGAAACATCATCTAGTCAGTGTCTACCAAGTTTGTTCAAATAAATGCCATGGGGCCAAAATTGGCCCCACCCCAGGGGGACATTGATTTTTCTTATATGTATATAGTAAAAACTAAAAAATCTTCTTGTGACAATCCAAAAGAGGTAAGGCTTAGATATTAAGCATGAAACATCTTCTAGTGGATGTCTACCAAGTTTGATCAAATAAAAGCCCTAGGGTCAAAATCGTCCCCACCCCTAGGGTTATTGATTTTCCTTATATATACATGTATATAGTAGGAACTTCTAAAAATCTCTTGTGAAAATTCAAAATAGTAAGAGCTTAGATTTTTGGCATGAAACATGTTCTAGTGTATATCTACCATGGTCAATGATTTTCCTTATTTGTATATAGTAAAAACTTAAAAAATCTTCTTTTAAAAAACCCAAATAGCTAGAGCTTAGATATTAAGCATGCAACATCTTCTAGTGGTGTCTACCAAGTTTGTTAAAATAAAACCCCTAGGGTAAAAATTGGCCTTGCCCCAGGGGGGGTCATTGTTTTTCCCTTTATGTATATAGTAAAAACTTCTTTTAAAGACCCCAAAGAGCTAGAGCTAAGATATTTAGCATGAAACATCTTCTAATGGGTGTCTACCAAGTTTGTACAAATAAGGGCCCTTGGGTTAAATTGTCCCCGCCGGGGGTCATTGATTTTCCTTATATGTGTATAGTAAAAACTTAAAAAATCTTCTTATAAAAAACCTAAAGAGCTAGAGTTTAGATACTAAGCATGAAATATCTTCTAGTGAGTGTTAATCAAGTTTGTTTAAATAAAAGCCCTGGGGTCAAAATTGGCCCCTCCTAGGAGGGTTCATTGTTTTACCTATATGTAATAATAATAATAAATACCACATTTATATAGCGCCCTTTTCATTAAAATGTTCAAAGGCGCTTTACATCAATCATATATGTCTAAAACAATATAAATGAACAGGATTATGAACATTAAAAATATTTTGCATTAACTAATTAAAAGTATAAATTATGGAATTATTTTTTACATATTAATACAATAAAACTTAAAGATCCTTAAAACTCACTTTACAATATTATTGTCATACATTAAAATTGTCTTCAATATATAAATGTGTAAGAAATAATGTGCCTTTTAACATAAACTCA